GAAGGAGCTGACTTGGGTTCAGTGCATAATTTTTACATTTATGATTTTCTAGTTTCTCTGTTACTTGATTGTGTTCTTGTATTAATCACACAATCTGCTGCAGGGGCAGGTCCTCCTCTGGTTGCCACCCTGCAGTCCAGCACATAATGTGTTGATTAACTCACATGTTGACAGTCATGTGATCAGCCTGTCTGTTATTTAAACATTTTTTAAGTAACGCAATAATTACTTTTCCTACTAATTAATTAATTTACAATTAGTGTTTTGAAGAAGTAACTAGTAACTATAACTGATTACTTTTTTAAAGTAACTTGCCCAATCATTATGTTAAATGTCGAAATAACCATGGAGAATTGGCACCTCCAAGTTTGAGGCCGTGGTTCCTAGCTGGTCTGTTGTGGTGATCAGCGCAAAGATGTCAACTTGTTCAAACGACCTCCCTGCCATCACCAGTGATCATGAAAGAGTACGTGAAAGTACACGAAACTATATAAATAATGCATGTAGTCATCTATAATTGGTTTGTGGTGCTTTAAAACCTCAATCTTAGCATTTTGGCCTGTGCCATGCTAGTCTTCTCGAGCTAAAAGCAACCATATTTGGAACATGGAGCACAAAATTACAAGCCAAAGCTTGTAAGCTTACTTAGTAAGGACTTTATGAGTTCATAGCACACAATGCTTGTGTCAGTGTTGGGATTGTTATGCAAAAAAAGTGAATGTATTACACATTACTACTTTTATTACTACTTTTCTTAAAAGTAATATAGTATGTTACTTACTTAGTCACTGAAGAAAGCAACTCATTACATCAAAATAGTCTCAATTTTTGCATCACAACCTTTGATCTGTATACAAATTTTCCTTTGATTTTTCGTTCTCCCTGCTGGATTAAATTCACAAATGACTAATGATTAATGGTGAGTTATTACTCACTATTAATCGTATACCGTATACCTTTTATAACTAGATGTCATTAAATAAACATAAAAAGCATCAGGAGAATTAATTTTGATTTATTGCAGAAAAGATGACAAGTTCACACAGTTCAATCAGGGATGACAAAAAATGCAAGAAAAACTATGTTGGCTTTGAGAGTCCAAATAGAATAAGTAAAAAACAGACCTTTAAGTTAAAAAGAGTAAAATCAAAGAGTTTCAAACACGGGTTCTGTAACAGGATGTCAGGCTCACTTGAAATTTCAGTTCTATCATTTAACTTGAGAGTAGACGCTCTCCTCAGCGGGCTCTCGCTTCTTTCTTCCTCGCGTTTTTCTTTCAGAGAAATTTAGTGCAGCATAGTTTAGTTCTTCATCAGCTTCGGTCTGCATTGTAATTAAAACACACAAAACAAATGTTTCTTAATCTGGTTTAGATGGTTATACTAACTTTTCAGACATTTTAACTAAACACCAATATTTTTATTACTTACCGGTTGGCGTAAGGCGTCATTTTGTGCTCCAGTTATTGCACTTTCTGCTATAAACATGAGATCATAGTAACAAATACATATTACTAAAATGCACTTAATATGCAGTTTCCTTCTGAATTTGTTATAACCATAAAATTCACTGATAGAAATAAGTTTTCCAATAATTAACAGGAAAAATAACCACCATGGAGTGTTAATAATATTTGCAGTGCATACAATGACTGTCTCCCCCATGGATTTATTTTACATAAATGATTAGTCTTTAAATTATTTAAGTGTAATGGGATAATTTTAGATACCTGTAGCTCTTACCTTTAATTGGTGTACATGTTCTTCGTTTGCAAACAAGGAAAATATTCCCAGAGACAGAAATGGCCAAACAGACTATTGAGGCTATTTGAAGAAACTCAATTTTTTTGGCTTGCTCTATAAAAAACAAACAAAATAATATGTTCTCAGAATGTCTCATCACTCGTATTTTAACATATTTGAAGTATAAAAACCAGCACTGAACACAAAATCATACCAAGTTCGAGTGTCGTCCCATTTCCAAATAATATCTCCCCACATGTGGCCACAGCGCAGTAGTAAGTCCCAGCATCAGAGGAGCTGACGTTCTTAGAGAAGCGATAAACACATGCCCTCTGAGTATCAGATCTTTTCTCACATTCATTATGTGTATTTACGTTAGCGTAAATGACTGGATGAGATTCATGAGATCTGTCTCTGAACCAAAGAACTCTGAGACCTCCTGGACACGTCTTGTTGACAGAGTGAGAGACTGAACACTGGAAAGTCACTGTGTCTCCTGGATGGAGTGGATTTGATCCTTTCAGCTGTTGAACAACTACTGATGTTTTCTGATTGTTTCCTGGGGAATAAAAAAGACATTACGCTGTCATAGTAGCTTAAAAATATTGTAAATGAGTGTTACGTTCCCCTAAAAAGGTTCAGGGGTTGAGGGGAATGTAACAAGATGTGTCCAGGTCGAAAAAAGGAGACAGAAAGACAAAATAGCTTCATTAAAGCTTATATTAAGGATGTACACTTACCTTTTACAAACAAATATGTGCCACTCCAGTTAGTCCTAATCCACTCTGTGAGCCCACAGTGATAGATTCCCTCGTCCTCTTGGACCGTCTTCAAAATAGTCACATTGCTGAAATTGTTATCATTATGTTCCTTAAATCTTGATTTAGAAAATGCAGGACCATATTCCGCTGGTGTAGATTTAAACGATGTCATAATTAACTTTAGGGTATCCCCGTGATTCTGCTTGTACCAGTGGACTTCTCCACTCTGGAGCCCTTTGGGTAAAGCACATGTTAAGGTCACTGGTTCACCAAGTTGAACTGTTTTCACTGAAACCAGAGAATCTGAAAGAAGAAAAATGGAAAAAGCTTTTTCTTGCAACAATCAATGCACGCAAATTTTTCCACATAACAAAAATCCCCTTACATCCTTGCTGAAGAACAAACAATGTCATCCATAAGACGATCATCTTGACACTGCCCCTCGCTCAGGACTTCACTGGTGTTTTAGTGAGTGAAAGAGGGGGCATGATTGTATTAGGTCAGACGCTAAAATGTATCTGATTGGTTAACACTGAAAAGACTTAAAAATACACTTCCTGTCACATTGGTCTCATCCTGGGCTTTGTAAAGCATATCACCTCGCTTTCAACTGTTCAGATGTACAGAAATGCATCACATTTTACATTTCAGATTATATGTTGCCTCACAAAAGGGGACAAAGAACAAGCAGAGTCCTTTTTCCAATTAATGTGGCAAAGTTCGTGGTAAAAGATTCAGCAGTCGCATTAAATATCACCCAGCTTTACCCCATGGTGGAGCTAGAGGTAAAGACAGGATAATGGCAACTGCAACATTTTAGCTGTCCTCAATTAAATTAGAAAGACTCACATCAGCTGGATCCAGAAAACCTAAAAGCCAATGGCACTGTTGCATCATGTGTCATGATAGTAGCCATGAAATCAAATCATAATTTGTCAATAATAGGGCTTAATTCTTAATTGGGCACTGACCAAACCCTCTTTCAAATGTGCACCATATAAACTTCTTCTGAACTGAAATACAGGGATAGAGGTCAGAGGTCATAGAGAGAAATGGGAAATAGGAAAAAAAAACACAAACAGAAAGGATTTCTGAATCTTTTAATCTTTAGTTTTTAAATGTATTTAATACACACTAAATGCCCATAATTTATTTTTAACTTGCAGACCGCTTTGAGATCTCAAATTAAAGTTAAAGTTAAAAAAATTAAATTAAATTCATCTATTTTCTACTGTTTATAAATCGTGTCAGGAATCTATCTTATATACAGTGTTCCCAAACACCTCACCGAAAAGGTGTCAAAGGTGCATCAGTGTCAGATACCTGCATCTTCAGCTGTTTCCTTTGATTCTGAACTTTTTAAAAAAATGATCAAAGTGTGTTTGAGGTTTGACAAAGTTGCTATCAGCAAAGGCTTACCAGCAAACCTCCCACAGAGCCTTTCCTCCTTGTTATCTATGCAAAGCGTAAACAACAAAAGCACAGAAGTTAAGCTGGCTCAAAACTCAAGCATAAAATCAGAAAATGCATATTTCATTTCACTGGATATGCTCCCTTTCTTTTAAATCCCAACTTTTGTAATAAAGTTATACTTTTCATTAGTAGTTTTTGTTCCTATGACCTGCGTGATGCAACATCGCCTCCACTTTCCCATGCTGCCGAGCTCATTGCTGAAATCACTGGTCTAGTCATCTTTCTGCTCACCTTTGAGTTTTCACTGCTGGGATCACCAAATATCTGGGTTGACTGAATACTGTACTCTCTATGATAAATGCTTCAATTTCACATGATTTATTGAGACAGAGAAATTAATGTATCTATTTTTGCTGATGACACTCTGATGACTCATCACAGCAGAACAAGCGGCAATAACCTTTAGTACAGGACCCGCTGATTCTAGATGTTAGTGGTGGTGTAGTTAAAGATGGAGGTTCGGATGAAACTTTGAGTGAGACGGGTGAGGTGGGTTTCACAAATGAGAGTCTTAAAGGGAGAATGACCACTAGTGGTGTGCGGATCGATATTGAAATATCGATTCTTCCGATACCAGTAATTTATGTTCTAGAATCGATTCTCATATTAAAATATCGATATTTTAGTACTTTGGGGTAAATTTGTAGTTTTTCATTAACAGGAACACAGTGGAAGGAAACTATATCATAAATTGGAAGGAACTACTTCCTCTTCCGCCTTTCACAGTCATGTGTGAAATACGGCTGTATAAATGTGTCGCAGACCCTGGCGTGCGCACTCACAACAATGGCTGGGCGTAAACAGAGTCATGTGGAGACGTATTTTACCTCCACAAACAGCCAAGACACGGTTTGCGATACATGTGGCAAGACAGTGAGGTGTTGTGGCAACACCACTAACTTCGTCAAACACCTCATCGCTTAATAATGCAGAATTATCATATAGAAATAAAAAACCTGAAGTTGTGCGCTATTTGAGCATGTTGCCTGAGTATTCTGAGTATCAGCAGTCTGCAATCAGCACAATGCAAGCATTGTTTGGGAAACGATTCAGTGAGTTCAGAGTGGAAAAACCCACATTATGCTTCCCTGTCCCTCCTCTGACCATCAATCCATCCCTATTAAATGTGACTGCAGGTGTAACTCAACCTGATCTGGAGATCGAGCTGGCTGACATAGCTGACAAAGATATGTGGGAGTCCCAATTTAAACACTTGACAGAGGATGTTGCCCATAGAAGGCCAATAAGTTCAGAATCACAAACATGGAATGCCCCAGCGCCTACATAAACATGAAGACATATACATTTCGAGTCCTGTTGATCTTCGGATCCGTGTGTGACTAGCTATTCTCCACCATGAACTATGTTAAAAACAAAAACTGCTCGTGCCTCACAGATGACAGCTTACAGTTCTGCGTAAAGATGAAAGTTGCTTGTACAGCCCAAATTTGCAGATGCTGTGCGCAGAGGTTCAGGAACAGAAGTCCCATTAACCAGTTAAAATAAATATTTATGCAAATATTTGGAAAATATTTGTTTTTCATTGTTTAGTGACATGTTGTTTTTTTCCAATTTATTTTTTTTATTCAGGTCAACGCTCCAAAAGCCCAAAGGTGATATACAGATGACCCCTCACAATATTTTTTGTCTGCTACATGGATAATTTAAGTTCAGATTTTTAATTCATTTGAAAGACACCTTGAACTCAGCGTGTTTCTCTTTTGTTATTATTTTTTTAAGAGTTCAAGATGATCAAAATGTGTTCATTACATAAATAAAATCTAATTTTCTCTGTAGCACTTCATGGCTTTCATAAGCAACACATTATAATTGATTATACAAAGCATGAAGGTAAAAAAAACAACAAAACAATATATACAGTGTTATCTGCATTTTAGATGTCAAAAAGTATTTGTGGCTCCCAGTGTTTTGTTTAGTTTTTTTACATGGAAATGGCTCTTTGGGTGTGAAGGTTGCCGACCCCTGAGCTAGCCATTCTGGGTGTGTCTCATTGACTAGCAGCTGGTTCATTTGTGCTGCCAGACGCTCATGGAGTGCAGTCAGCTTCTTCAGCCAGTAGGTGTGAATCATGTCAGGGCCTGGTACAGTCCAGCTCTTTATACTGGAAAAGCTTCCTTCTTAAAAGTCTGGCACTGTGGTTACTGGACCCTGTTCAGGTTCGTTGCTGTGGTCTGCTCTTAGAGCCACTAGCCACTGAGCATTGCCTTTATGGGTTGTGTTCTTGTATTGCTCTGGAAGGACACGGCCTTGGTGGTGCTGTTCATATATTGTTCAGAGTACACCTTTGATGATTCCATGAAGTAAAGCTGCTATATTGCTTCGAGCTGCTGGTCAATGCTGTGAGTCTTTGCTTGGAAGTTTCCAAGTCCTCAGGTACAATTTAGATTGACAGTAAATGGACAAACTTTACTTTTATGGTTTGCTTGGTCTCTGACTGCTGGCTCACTTATTTACCTAAAAGTCGAATGGGAATCAGCCTTTAGCTTTCATGCCCTGTTTTTGTTAAACAAGCCTCCCGATTCAAGAGACACACTTCACTTATCCTATTTACTCACTATGTAAGTATTTAAACGACATTTTGCACTTAATCATTAATTATTATTAAACTATCGCTCTCTTCCACAGTATCTTCTTTATTCTGTCTTTAGATGAAAGTATATGTAGTTCTGCTGAAGGTTTCTTCTGTTTCCCTTCCTACTGTCACCAAGTGCTTGCTCAAAAAGGGAAGACTGATTTTTAGGGTTATCTCTCTATTATTGTAGGGTCTTCATGTTACAAAACAAAGTGCCTCAGGTTGTAATTTGGTGCTGAATAAATACAAATGAATTGAATTGATTGGTCAGCTATCTCTTAAACACACTCTCAGACTTGGAAGTACTAGAGCCCAGTTAACAACAAACCTTCCCAGCAGGAATCAGTGGGCACTTGTTGAAGCCAGAAAGCCCACATAAAATATAAATTAAAAAGAAAAATATTCCCATGATCTCTGAACTGGAAACCTCTGACAATTTGACTATGGCTAAAAATTATATCCTTAAAAGTTATGGATATAATTATAAACAGAAAAATTAACAAAAAGCACCACTTGTGTAGCTCAAGACCTACCAGCAACTAACATGTTCATAGTGCCATTTAGAAAGTCTATTTGATTAACAAGATATTTAGTACATCTGTACATGTAAGATATGAGAGTGTGGTAGTCGAGATTTTATCGTTTTTATATTAATTCCATATTTTATGTTTATTTAGACAGTTTTTATTTGTTAAGTATTTTGCGTGACTTCATCGAAAGTAAAGACTATTTTTTCTTTATAAAGCATTTAAAAAAGAAACTGAAATGTAATGAAATGACACACACAAGGCACAAAGACACATAAAACATACAGATATTCATCCCCAGATGCAAACATAAACTGGACCCAAACGTAGACAATGGAGATGAATGTGGATCTTTAACAAACAAACCTTTATTCTTGACTGCACAAAAAGCTACAAAACAAAAGGTGGCGGAGGAACTGAGAAAAAACAAACCAAAATCTAAACCGGGAAAAGCTAAATTAAAGAACATGAGGAACATAGAAAACATTACCAAAAACCTGAAACTGGAAACGCAGAACCTAAGACATGGAAACCTTGAGGAGGAAATGCAGGATGAAACACGGGGATGACAAACAGAAGAAAACGCAGACAATCTGACAGAGGCAAGCGCACACTATATATTACACACAGGGAAGTGAGGAAATGGCAGAGAGGCAGACAACACAGCTCACAATAATGAGACGAGATGAGACCAGGTGGCAGCAAAACAGAATACACTGATGCACAGGACTCGATGTAAAACAGGAAAGGGGAACATAGAACCAAGAACACTAGACACAACACAAGTAACACCAGGGAGGCACAGAGAGACCTAAACACTGGAAATAATAACAAATAACTAATAAACGAACAAAATCAATGAATATTAATAAACATAAACTGGGAGTCACTTGACTCCGGACCCTCAAAGAAAGTCATATTCATCATAATACATGTCATTATTATTGTTATTATTATTGCTGTTGTTGTTGTGATTATTAGCAGAGATGATGCATTGCAAGGCAGCTGTGCATGATATAACACTAACATGTAAACTAACATGGGACTATAGGTAACCTAGCATAAAAACAAAGAAAGCTATAATTCACATTGAAATTTCCATTCAACTATTTAAGGTAGAAACAAACGACATTATCTAATCTTAAAAAAAAAATTAAAAGCAGCAAATATAAAGTCAAGCTCACCTAACAGGAAAGGCAAACAGACAACGCAATGCTACTGCAGTAACAACATGGCTGCACGGCTCAGTTCAGCTGAACTCACCAACACAGTTTCTTGACTCTCACATTCCTGAATTTATACTGTCAGTCTGCACAAGTGTTTTCTCACACTACAGTTATCTCCAACAAAAACAATTTGTTTTTACAAAAAAAGCTTCTAATTCAGCAGCACTCAACTTCATTTCTCTTACAAAGGTCAGAAAGCTGCTTATGGAGTGAGCGGGACTCAAGTTTCCTCTCCAGCAGGAGTGTGAATTCACTGATTAAGTAAATCACATAGTAGTTTGAGGATTTTTTTTGTTTTTGTTTTTCCTCTTTTGCAAAATTTAAAGTTGATGTGTTGATTTTGTTGTGGCGAATCCACTAAGCCAAAAAAATGGATCGGACATCAGTTGTAGAAACGATAGTCTTTATATAAGGCTTCAAAAAGGGGAATGTACAACAAATAAACTGCTCGACATCAGAGCAACATATAATGGCTTCCCGAAACTTTCTTTGCTAGCTAAAAAAAACCCAGAGTAACTTTCATCTACCGCAAAGGATTCTGGGAAACGCAGTTTTCTAATGAAAATACCTGTTAAATGCTCCCCTTTAGCAGAAATTTAAATCTATAATTAACAGCTCTCACTAAACATGTGACTAACACTTAAATCACTTACAAAATAACCAAAATGCTTTTATCAAACAATAAACTGCAATAAAGTTACAACAGATTTTTCTTTTCTTTGATATTTTTTCCGTATTTTCTTTTATTTTCTGTGTTTTTGTTTTTTCAAGAAAACACACAAAACTCAACTTTGGTATTGAAATCAGGATTTAACTTGAGAGTAGACGCTGTCCTCAGCAAAGTCTCTCTTCCTTGTGCTTCTCAATTTTCTTTCACTGAAGTTCAGTGCAACATAGTTTACATGGCTGTCAGTTTCAACCTGTGTAATAAAGATATGCAATAATAACAACCAGTTAAAATAATAATAATGAGCTTTTCAGTCATATTTTAATTGAATAACAAGCATTTTCATTACTCACTGGTTGGTGTGAGGTGTCAATTTGGTCTTCCGATATAGCATTTTCTATTCATAAAGATGAATTTAATTATTAGAACAAATACAAAATAGTAAAATGCATTTGATGTGGCAACTATTTCAAAATGTATTGCCTAACATATAAATATATAACACAAAACATTTTATATGTATTCATATTCAATTCAATTCAATTCAATTTTATTTATATAGCGCCAAATCACAACAAAAGTCGCCTCATATTCATATTTAAACAATGGAAATGCTGCTTGAATAACAGGACAATCTTAGCTTTGGAAATCATCATACAACACTTACCTTTATTTTGTATTCTTTGGTTGCAGATGAGGAAAACATTTCCAGTGACAGAAATGACCAAACACACTGTTATTACGGCCAGGTGAATAAATGCCGACTGTGTTTTCTGCACTACAAAACAAACAACCAGAAAGATATATCACATTTTCAAAAAAAAGTCACTCATATGCTGCCAACATACCTTGAGTATAACTTAGTATCATACCAGCTTTCAGATCGGTTCCATTTCCAAATAATATCTCCCCACATGTGGCCACAGCACAATAGTAAGTCCCTTCATCAGAGGAGCTGATGTTCTTAGAGAAGCGATAAACACATTTATTCTGAAGGTCAGATGGTTTCTTTCTGCCAGCGTAGATGATGCCAGGATGAGATTTGTCTGAACCAGCTCTGAACCAGAACACATCACGATCCCGTGCATATGTGTTGTTGTCAAAGTCAGAGAAAACTGAACACTGGAGAGCTGCTGTGTCTGCTGGATCGACTGGATCTGATACAGCTGGCCACTGAACGACAGTATAGTTTGATGCCCTCTGAGTGTTTCCTGTTTAATAAAAAATATAAAGACAATTGTCAAAACATGCTCCAACACACAAACACATTTTTTGAAAGTATGCCAGTTTATTACCTTTTACTAACAAATATGTCCCACTCCATTCAGGATTAAGCCATTCAATGATCCCACAGTGATAGATTCCTTCATCCTCTTGGACTGTCTTCAAAATGGTCAGATTGCTAAATGTTTTCGTATTACATGCGTCATATCTTGATCTAAATATTTCTTGACCATACTGAGGTGGTGTAGTTCCATACAGTGTTGAAATCAGTTTGAGCTCATCCCCGATACTCTGCTTGTACCAGTGGACTTCCAGAGTGCTGAGCTCTTTGTTGCTGGGTAAAGCACATGTTAACGTTGCTGGTTCACCAAGCTGAACGATTTTCATTGGAACCAGAGAATCTGAATTAAGAGAATACAGAAAAAAAATGATGTTCAAATGTTCAAATGCAAAATAATTCATTTTATTTTCGACACATTTTTTCTATTTGACATAATTTATCTTCATAGAATAGTTGTGGAGAAAATTAAAGAGCACTTACATCCTTGATGAAGAAAGAGCAAAGTAATCCACAGCACCATCATCATGACACTGCTCGTTGTTGAGAACATGGTCTTTCAGTGAGTGAAGGAGGCAAGATGATCGTGTTAGGTAAGGCTGTACAATGATTCTGATTGGTTAACACATATAGATTCAAAAGTACCCTTGATGTCACACTGGTCCCCTCCTGGCCTCTGTAAAACATTTCACCTCTCTTTGATATTCTGTTGTAATTATCCATTTGGTTACTTTTTACTTCTCTCTTGGTGGTTATTAGTTATTCTATTCCTTCCTTTTCTTTTCATCTGAAGGACATGAACAGTGGAACAGTCACCACTTCTGTTTGTGGTATGTAGTGCAAGAAATAACACAAAAACATTACATATTGAATTTCTGATGAAATTTGACATCTTGACTTGGAGAAAAGCTGGCGCACAGGATGAAGCGAAGCCTTTTGCCCAACTAATGTGCAACTTTATTTATTTATATGTTTTTGCATTTTTCATAACAAACCAATCAGCACTTGCATTAAACGTCACCCATGTTAACCCCATGGTGGAGCTAGAGGTAAAGACAGAATAATGTTACCCCCAAGACCTTAGCTGGGATACACTGTTTAACTTTCTCAATCAAAATGGCATGTCTTCTTTAGATCAGCTGGCTGTATAAAGAATATCAAAACCTCTATACAAAGATATGGTATATGATGACCTAAGTTATGAAATCAAATCATTATGTTCTAAGA